TCCAAATGAGTTTGTCCGGAGAACCTTTTAAACTGATTGGGATCTTCCTAATGATGCTGGCTTCCGCCTCATAGAAAACTTCAGAAAGTAGTTGCAAGTTCCAGGTTTTTGAGTCTGCATTAATGAGTTCACATACTCTAGCATTCAAAAACAGGTCATGTAGTGGTGGATGAATTTGAGAGGTGGACGCTTGGGGGATCCATATATCCTGACCTATGACCATAGATTCTCCGTTCCTCCCTATGCGCCACAAAGCTCCCTCTCTCAATACTTTTTTAGCTTCTGAGAAACTCCTCCAAAGGTAGGAGGCATTGCTTCCAATTTTGCTATTCAGAAAGTCTGATCCGCTATAATATTTGGATTTAAGTACCCTCGCAGCCAGGGAGTCTGGATTTTGAGTGAGTCTCCAGCCCTGCTTCGCCAATAAGGCCACGTTGAAAATCTCTGAATCCAAGTCCTCCAACATCTTTGGATTTCCCAAGCATATCCCAAGGTAGCCATTGTGTTTTTGTTCTCTCTCCTTTACAGCCCCACCAGAAGTTCTTTGCTAGCCGATTCATAGCTTGAAGAATGGTTCTTGGAAGCTTGAAGTTGAAGATACTCATGCAGTACGTTGGAATAGCTTGGATGATAGCCTTGAGAAGAACTTCCTTCCCAGCTTGCGAAATGAATTTCACTATCCAACTGTTCATTCTGCTTCTGATTGAATCAAGAACTTGTTTGAATGCTGACACTTTATTCCTTCCAACATAGGCCGGCAATTCCAGCTGATGATCCTCATGGCGAAACGACAGTGCTGCTCAGCAGCCTCTGCCCAGCTGAATCGCCTATATGCACCGTCGTATCTCTCTGCCTTTTTTTGGGGCTAAGGGGCAATAACCCCAAAAACCTTACCTGCCAAAGCTGAATCTCCCCCAAAAACCTTAGAAGAGAAAAGCAGCCACTTGAACAGAAAAGAAATCTAAAAGGAAGAGAGCTAGGGCTGTGGGAAAGACCAAGAAAGAGAACCCTTCCCAGAGGAAGGAACCCGGAAAAAACACTAAAAAACCTTCACAGAGGAAGGGAAACCCTCACAGAGGAGGGAACTAACCTTCACTGGAGGAAGGAGGAAAACCTTCCTTCAAATTTATATTTGATGTATCATTTAAACCTTATAAGAACATATTGTGACAGTAGAGAGGAGGGTGAAATATCTATTCTATATAAGGACTCTAGTTCAAGTCATTCAAACAAGAATCTATGAACTAACTGTAACTAAAACTCCATATGTAGTTGAATGCTTTTAAACCTCCAAGAAAAAAAAAATGTCATCATTAATTTATTAAATTGACTGCTTGTACTTGGAATGCTTGACTATACTTTAATTCAAACCTAGCTCCATTTCAAGAAAAATACACTAGTAATTTTTAAAGTAGATTTTAACCAATTATAATTATCTATTAACACAATCAAACAAACAATTTCTTTGAATTAATCATATTACGAAACACATTAGAATCCCAAATGCACATGTCTATAGCCAGTTCTTATTTTATGTTACCAATCGATATTCCTTGTGTTATAATTTGGTATTATAATTTTTTATATAATATTTTTTAAAAGAATAGAGGATTAAAAATGAAGGATTTTTTTTATATAATATTATTTTATTAAAAAAAGAAAAATATATTATAATTTAATGGGATCAAATCGGGCTAATATAACACACTATAAACAGTGTAGTCGTTAGTGAGCCACTAACATTTACCTCAAAAGTCAAAAGAGATACACGGATTATACACGTTCATAATTATTTACACATTGATGATATATCATCATTATATTAAAATTTAACTCATTTTCTTCCCTCTCTCTCAATTCACAGTTGTTTTTTTTTTCCCCATTCTCTCAATTCATCAATCTGTAAAAGAATATGTACAAATAATATTACGATTTATTGAAATCAAGAAACGTAAAAAGAAGAAATAAAGAAGAGTTTGATTTTGATTGAGGCAAGAGTTCGAGTCTCAACTACTTGCTGGCATTTTTAGTTTCTTAAATTAATGAAATTACACATTAATTTTTACCAAATTCCGTTGAGACTTCACATAAAGACTTTTAGTCTGTGACTGTGTGTGCAAGATCCAGGAAAGAGAAGTCTGAAACCAAAGACCGAATTATTGCCATTTGGTCTGTATGCTTGGAATAAAGTCTGCGTGCAGCATCCAATTATTATTTTTTCTTTTTCTGAAGATTTTGAAGACTTGGGTTGTTTCCTCATTTGCAATTATTCATGGAGTGGGTGAAAANTTTTTCCCCATTCTCTCAATTCATCGATCTGTAAAAGAATATGTACAAATAACATTACGATTTATTGAAATCAAGAAACGTAAAAAGAAGAAATAAAGAAGAGTTCGATTTTGATTGAGGCAAGAGTTCGAGTCTCAACTACTTGCTGGCATTTTTAGTTTCTTAAATTAATGAAATTACACATTAATTTTTACCAAATTCCGTTGAAACTTCACATAAAGACTTTTAGTCTGTGACTGTGTGTGCAAGATCCAGGAAAGAGAAGTCTGAAACCAAAGACCGAATTATTGCCATTTTGTCTGTATGCTTGGAATAAAGTCTGCGTGCAGCATCCAATTATTATTTTTTCTTTTTCTGAAGATTTTGAAGACTTGGGTTGTTTCCTCATTTGCAATTATTCATGGAGTGGGTGAAAA